CCCCAAAACCCCAAAACCCCAAAACCCCAAAACCCCAGTTGGCTAAATTATAATTGAACAGTAAAAATAATGGAATTAGAGACAAAATCTCATCCTTCTAAGGTAATATCTATCGCATATCTAATAAATCTTGCTGGATTTACCATAAAATTATAAAATTATGTTGACTGAGACAAACATGTTCATTCTAAATCCCAAGGTCTAATATAAAATACTTATAGATATCAGGAATGCATGTTTTTAGCAGTTTCAAAAAGGAGATGCCGGAGCGCCCTGAAAGAATAACTAAATAATAAATTTGATTACATGTACAAGAACACCTCTTTGTTTAAGAAGAGTCCAAAGAAAGCAACTAAGCTGACTGAAAAAGATTTTGACAAGGATTCAAAAATATAGTGCGCATCAATCCAGTGAATGTCTCTTCAACTCTAAATCCAGAGAATCATAAATAAGCGCGAAAGTGGAGGCATGAAGAAGCTCAAATAACACCATGAGATTAAAGTCTAAACAGTTTAAAGATTTTCCAAAAGCCAAAGAGAAATCAGACGCAAATGTACTTGGATCACTCTTTTTCAGAATTTACGGCTTTCTTCTAATATTTTTAGAATCCATAATAATTTTGACTCTTGGAATAAGGTGTTTATGATCCTATAGAAAAATGATTTCAAGACTACTAAATCATTCAACGCACTGGCATTGATTGATAAATGAATCAAATAAGAATTCAAAGATTAATAACTCAGAAAAGCAGAGACATCATGATAGGTCCTTATCCCAGAAGTTTGGGATAAATATACCTATTTATAAACTATCTGAGAAGAATAGCTCTATTTTTAAACAAACGAAACAGCCAACCCAGTTTCAGAGTAAGAATGTTTATCATATTTTAGGCCAATCGATGAACTCTAGAAAGCACTCTAAGAGGTATAGCCAAAGACCAACAAAGCTAGAAGGTATAGGGTTCTAGAATAATATAGGGAACACTTATGATTCGCACTCAAAGCCCCCTCTAAAGTGTATAGAAGCTTTAGCTACAACGAAAAGGGAGCAAAAGCATTTTGTTGGTGATATGAAAAAGCATCAGTTGAAAATTTACCCTCTAAATTTCCCAGCATCCCCTATGTCGGTTTGCAAAGCGATCAAAGATATAAATAGTCTTGCTACAAAGACGAACAAGGCTACTAAGTTTGTAGTATGAGAGGTTTTATACTTTAGTCTACACCTTCGAATAAGATTTCAAGTCAATTCACTAAGAAGCTTAGGCAAGATATTAAAATGTCAGTTAAGAAGAATCAGATAAAAGAAAGTATTAGTAAAAAGAGTCTTCAAGTTAACCCTGGCTTGAAATGTATTGACTCCAAGTCATCTTTCCTATCCCATGGGAGAGGTGCTTCATTAGATGTAAGACTTAAGAAGGATTTTCAACCTTTTCGAACAAAGGATGAATTCGATTCTGGTGATAATTTACAAGCAAAAACAGCAGATATCGATAAGAACGTTATAAAATCAGACACATCTGTTAGCAAAATTGAGGTAGTTTTACCCCAAATTGGGATCACTTCCAGCAGGTTCATTAAAAACACTAAAAATAAAACACAGCACATAAATATCGAACCTAGTCTTAAAATCAATTTCCAGCACACGTAAAACCTTAAAAAAGACCTAATTCCTACAGCAAAATCAAAAAAGGACAAATTTTTATAAACTCCCCTTCTTCACCAACCCAAAACTTCGCAAAACACCTTAATCTCAAAGATTTTAATGTCAAAAAGGCCAGCAAGTATCTCAAACGTTATGTACAAAATAAAAGCATTCAAAACAAGCCAGTTAAGCCTTCACCAAAGCCAAAACTGTTCAAGCCTATTAAGGGTAAGCTTCTTCAAGACTCTGTCTAGTTCGCCAGCTCAGTATCTCCCAGAAGGACGAACAAATAGAAGGATGGGCTATAGAAGAAAATGAATTTGTACATGATTTCTTATAGAATTACAATATTTCAATGAAATTTGCTGGTAAAGGGGTTTTGGGGTTTTGGGGTTTTGGGGTTTTGGGG